AAAAGATCGGCTTGATTCAGTATCTAGCCACCCCCACGAGGGTTGCATGCGACACAAGGTCATTTTTATCGTGGGTTTCCTGAGCCCGTAGGCTCAGCCAAAAAATATGCCCGTATGACTCGTAAAAAACGAGATCAGGGTAGGTCATTCACCCCGAACGAGATTCTGCCCTTCGGCGGAACCTCGTCCGGGTTCCTTTCTGCTCAAAAGCAGAGAGTTCGACCATCAAGTCGAAAAGATCGGCTTGATTCAGTATCTAGCCACCCCCCCACGAGGGTTGCATGCGACACAAGGTCATTTTTATCGTGGGTTTCCTGAGCCCGTAGGCTCAGCCAAAAATATGCCCGTATGACTCGTAAAAACGAGATAGGGTAGGTCATTTCTCCCCGAACGAGATTCTGCCCTTCGGCGGAACCTCGTCCGGGTTCCTTTCTGCTCAAAAGCAGAGAGTTCGACCGTCAAGTCGAAAAGATCGGCTTGATTCAGTATCTAGCCACCCCCCCACGAGGGTTGCATGCGACACAAGGTCATTTTTTATCGTGGGTTTCCCATGAGCCCGTAGGCTCAGCCAAAAATATGCCCGTATAACTCGTAAAAACGAGATAGGGTAGGTCATTCACCCCGAACGAGATTCTGCCCTTCGGCGGAACCTCGTCCGGGTTCCTTTCTGCTGAAAAAGCAGAGAGTTCGACCGTCAAGTCGAAAAGATCGGCTTGATTCAGTATCTAGCCACCCCCCACGAGGGTTGCATGCGACACAAGGTCATTTTTATCGTGGGTTTCCTGAGCCCGTAGGCTCAGCCAAAAAAATATGCCCGTATGACTCGTAAAAAACGAGATCAGGGTAGGTCATTCACCCCGAACGAGATTCTGCCCTTCGGCGGAACCTCGTCCGGGTTCCTTTCATCTCAAGAGCAGAGAGTTCGACCGTCAAGTCGAAAAGATCGGCTTGATTCGACCCTCTCTCTTGAGAGGCGTAGTATACATAGTGTTAGGAAGAGTTCATTCTGTAGTTATAGGTAAGGACCCATGTCACATAGGAACATGTCCTTTAAATGAAAATTTCTATAAAGGTGTCCAATAACCAAAAGCTCCTATCAAAATATTTTATAACCAAAAAATCCGAGGAAAGTGACTTATAACTAAAAAGAAACCCCAAAAGGAGCCCTATCGCCAAAAGGTTCTATAAAAATGTTCTTATAATCGTTAGAACCTATAAAAGTGTCCTTTAACAAAACTTTCTATAAAATGACCCTCTATCTAAAAAATCCGATAAATATGTCATATAATCTAAAAAACCTAATATTGAAAAGTCGTGTAAATGATTACTATAACTAAAAAATCCTATAAAAGTGACCCTTTATGTAATAAATAGTTAGGGCGCCTCAGAGCGGTCTAAAGGTTAGGAAGCTTGTCTTGCGAGAACAATTACGACTGAGTAGTGAGTTTGATGCTCACTTGGTGCCTCTATTTTCGGCCTTGTGCCACATCTAAGCTACACTTGGAAAATCACTATAGGATAAAAGTTTGCGCATCCATACTTAAGTTATTGATGTGGGTGATGAATTTTCCACCCTACAACACCTTTCCAACAGACAAAATGTTGCGAACCTCTCCTTGCTCTGTAACTATTTGCATGGCATATATTCTGGCAAGCTACATGCTTAGTCCCACCAGCCCTAAGCTTTATAACTGGAACCCACCCTGACATGTACCCAAGTGTGAATCATCCCAATTCTCTTAGAAAGAATGAAGTTCCACGAGCACAGTTTCTTCCCAAGACTTGCTGCGTTATGGAACAGATTCCTGGCAGGATGTTTTTCCAATCACTACAAGTTGGACCACTTCAAGTCCAAGGTTAACCGTTATCTAACCCCATGAACTTGATTTTTTTGCCCTTTCTGACACCCATACAATATAAAGGAGTAACGTTCTGCCTTGAGTGGTTGTTAAGCTTTGTATTGGGTGAATGTTAGTATATATAAAAAATAAATAACCCAGTCATTTTTTAATGTTTCTTTATTTAAATCTTACATAGAAAATAATCCATAATTAAATCACTCTCCTGTCTTGATCGAGATCAAAGGCACCTACGCGGACTTGTACGTGAAGTACTTTCCACTCAGGCGACTTCTTTTCAAGAACTGCTGATCGAGAAAAAAAAGGATTTTCCCAATTAACTTGGACCCACCCTGCCATGTAATCAAGTGTGAATCATACCGATTTTCTTAGAAAGAAGTAAGTTCCACGAGGACAGTTTCTTCCCAAGACCTGTTGCGTTAAGGAACACATTCCTGGCAGGATGTTTTCCTCATCACTACAATCTTGATCTCTTTAATCTAAGGTTAACCGTTGTATTTCCTACATAACCACATGAACTGCGCGTATTTTCTTACGTTCATACAACACCACACAGTAACCTTCTACCTTGAGTGGCTTTTGCGCCTTCTATTTGGTGGACATTAGTACTGCCTCTATATTCCTGGGTATGACGATGAAATACATCCGGCAGCAAGGCCTCTAATCGGGAGATTGGAAACTTTGAAGAGCATGGGGCCACCTCTTAACTGAAGTTGTTCTCAGGTCCAACCTCATTAAGGTTGGTAGCATCTGTTAAGGTCCCAGCTGTTCCCCAAAACTGAATAATCAGACAAAAGGAAAACACGATGAAAGTATTAAAAATATATTTTATTGTAAAAATACCAGCAATAAATTTTTATATAAAAAGTTACCAACGATACATATTTGTTGCAAAATTACCAACATTTGTAAAACATAATTACCAATGATACATTTTACAGCAAAATGACTAACCAATGTAATGGAATAACCTGTCACCCCGATGAGTGACTAAACTATAGGTAGTAACTACTTGTAAATATCTGTAAGCCAACGAACTACAGAGACGAGCTGCGACCTGTTCTAGCTAGAGAGTCGAGCCCTCTGCCTTCGGGCAGAGAGGAACCTGGACGAGGTTCCGCCGAAGGGTAGAGTCTCGTTCGGGGAGGTAGACTGACCCTGAACCCGTTTATGCAGGTTCAAAAGGGAATATTTTTGGCCGAGCCTACGAGATGGGAGATTCCACGTTAAACCGGCCTTGTGCCACATACAACCCTCGTGGGGGGGGGGGGAGTTGCTAAATATACTAGCTGCGAGCCGTTCCACCTAAACATTCGAACTCTCTGCCTTTGAGCAGAGAAGAACGCGGATGAGGCTCCGCCGAAGGGCAGAGTCTCGTTCGGGGAGGTAGACTGACCCTGAACCCGTTTATACGGGTTCAAAAGGGAATATTTTGTGCCGAACCTACGGGCTCGGAGATCCCACGTTAAACCGGCCTTGTGCCAAATGCAACCCTCGTGGGTCGGGTAGCTAAATATACTAGCTGGGATCTGTTACTCAGCTTGTAGCTGGTGTCGAACACTCTGCCTTCGGACAGAGAGGAACCCGGTCGAGGCTATGCCGAAGGGCAGAGTTTCATCCGGGGAGGTAACAGACCCGAACCCGTTTATGCGGGGTTTACGCAGAATTTTTGGCCTAGCATACGGGCACAGATTTCCCCACATTAAATTCGACCTAGTGCCACATCCTACCCGAGGGAAGGTTGGTAGATATTACTAGCTGGGATCCGTTGAGTAAGCCTCAGACTTACACGAGAACTACTGACCTTCCAAAAGTAGCACTCACTACTGGATTGACTTGCGCCAACCTTGTACATAACTGTTACATTTATTCGTATTGTACTAGTATTTTGCAATAAACCTTTACTTATTTTATCCACCTTGTTTTTCAAATATATATTCAAATTAGCACGGAATACAGCATACAAGTATTGCAAATCAGAAGGGAAATATTCTTAGTGTGTTTGAATCAATGTTTTTTTCATGCCACTGAGTCCAGACTTTCTATATTCTGATCGACGGCCTCGTTTGGATGGTGACCAGTCTGGGCGTCAGTTAGTTTTCATACAGACCATCGCTTCGCTTGGTCTTCGCTCATGAATTTTAAATGACGGAATATTTTAGCGTGTCGGAAAACAGATCGGGGCTTTTGAACTGTCGAAATTATGACAAGAGGTGTCAGTTGTTGTAACGCTTTAAAACGGAATCGGCGAATTACGTTTAAATATCCAATAAAGGACTGAAGGTGACTCCGCATATTTGTTGGGTTTTTCTCACACGCAGGCGATTCTTGCAAAATTGTCTAACCTCTCGTCCTCTTGCTGCAAAACAACGAAACTTCGGACATTAAGCATTAAAAGATTTCGGTTAATCAGTTGCTGTGAATAAATTCAGTTTGTTGGTTTGGTTGATTTCGTTTAGCGGCATATCAACACACCTATGGGTTATTTAAAGCCGAAATTAAAATATTTCGAACACAATATTTTGACTACAGATAAAATATATTTGTTAGTGTTATATTACGTGCTAATAGGAATATATACTTTAAAAAACTAGGTGAATAAAATAAGTAAAGGTTTATTGTAAAAAACAAAAACAAATGTGACTGAGCAGGTACTAGCTTCCATAGCAGACGAGTGTAGTTGGAAAATGATAGTAGCCGGCCATTATATTTGCATGTATATATGTATGTATGTACACTACAGTTCAAAAGATTGAGGACACCACTGGTAATTGTTTAAATTGGTCCCAAAAGTAGTTGTTTTGTAATTTAAATAAGAGAAAATTATTATACATAGTAAAAATTTGAGACATGATTTTAATTATAAATTTTATTATGACAAAAAGAAAAAAAGTATTTTATGATTAAATTTTGCTCTCGTCAAAATATCCTCTTGTAACCTTGATTATTGCGCGACAAATTTCTGGCATGAAACTAATACTTTTAGAAACTTTCGCAACGAAAGTTTCTAAAAGTATAAGTTTCATAATTGATTCCATTCTTCTTTTTTTTGTAATGACTCTAAGAGATCTTTTTCATTTTTTCCTGCTTCTGTCAAGTTCATCACAGGCTAATTCTGGGAGTAGCTTCAATCTTTTGAACTGTAGTGTATAAATAAGAAAGAAAGAACGAAAGATAGAACAATAGAATGAAAGAAAAAAGAACGAAAGAAAAAACGAAAGAAAAAAGAATGAAAGAAAGAAAGAACGAAAAAAAGAAAGAAAAAAGAACGAAAAAAGAAAGAAAGAACGAAAGAATAAAAGAAAGAAACAAAAAAGAACTAAAGGAAGAAAAAAGAAAGAACGAACGAAAGAAAGAAAAAACGAAAGAAAGAACGAAAGATATAACGAAAGAACCAAAGAAAAAAAGAAAAAAGAACGACAGAAAGAAAGAACGAAAGATAGAACGAAAGAACCAAAGAAAGAAAGAAAAAAAGACCGAGAGAAAGAAAGAACGAAAGAAAGAAAGAAAAAAGAACGAAAGAAAGAAAAAAAGAACGAAAGAAAGAAAGAACAAAAGAATGAACGACAAAACGAAAGAAAGAAAGAAAGAACAAAAGAAAGAAAGAACGAAAGATAGAACGACAGAATAAAAGAAAAAAGAACGAAAGAATGAAAAAAAACGAAAGAAAAAAACGAAAGAAAAAAGAGTGAAAGAAAGAAAGAACGAAAAAAGAAAGAAAAAAGGACGAAAAAGAAAGAAAGAACGAAAGAAAGAAACAAAAAAGAACTAAAGGAAAAAAAAGAAAGAACGAACGAAAGAAAGAACGAAAGAACAAAAAGAAAGAAAGAAAGAAAGAACGAGAGAAAGAAAGAAAGAAACAAAGGAAGAAAGAAAGAACGAACGAACGAAAGAAAGATAGAAAGAAAGAAAGAAAGAAAGAAAGAAAGAAAGAAAGAAGAAAAAAAGAGAAAGGAAGAATGAAAGATAGAACGAAAGAAAGAAAAAAGAACGATAGAAAGAAAAAAGAAAGAACGATAGAAAGAAAAAATACGAAAGAATGAAAGAAACAAAGAACGAAAGAAAGAAAAAAAGAACAAAAGAATGAACGACCAAACGAAAGAAAGAAAGAAAGAAAGAAAGAAAGAACGAAAGAAAGAAAGAAATGATGACAAAGAAAGAGTTAAACTGATATAAGAGAAGGTCGTAGTAGAAAGAAAGCTTGATAAACTGAAATGAAAGAAGTCAAGTTAAAAGAAGAGTGAACAATGGAGAATCAGGTGTTACATGAGAAGTGTGAAGTTTGGTCGATGACGGATCTAGTTGCAAATTCCCCGTCTGGAAAATACAGAGCAGGCCCTCGCTACCCTGGGATTTTACTTCCGAAAACTTACCAATTTGTCTAATTACCTGCTAGTTGCACGTCTGAGGCTGGTGTACGCCTACAGATAATCGCAATACAGCTGCCAGCAGCTCCATCTAATTAAGGACGCCATCTTTAGAATCTCAGGGTCGTTTCTCTTCTATTAGGAAAAAGTTTAATCATAACGTTTTTATGTTTTTCTCCGAATTTCTGAGAGGGAGCATTGTTTATCAGCATCATAATCATAAACCGGTCCTATGAGTCGCTATGCAAACAAACACCTAACCAGATTCCTCTCCAGATTAAACCACATCCAATATCCTCTAAGTCGAAAGCCTACCTATCTATAGCGATGTCTGGATAGTGGTTGATCCTATGTTGTGTCGTGGCACATTAGTAAAAATAAGAAAATCAAGTCGAAGTTGGTTTAAGGAACAAGTGTATTTAACATCACAGATACAAAGGTAGGAAACGGGTACTACTCAGCTCTGTCTGTCTCTCTCTCTCTGTGTGTGTGTGTGTGTGTGTGTGTGAAGCCACCTTAAGAGCTGCGAAACAGTCTGTCTGTGGATGACTATATATATATATATATATAAAAAGAAAGAACTGTAAGATATATAATCCGGTGTTCTTATAGGTAGTTTTATTTTTACAAAATAGTGCTCGATGTAAATTTACAGAGCATTATTATTATAAATTGATTTAAAATATGTTTTTCCGCTACACAGTTCTAACCATGTTTCAAATATATATATATATATTAAAATAAATTACCCGATAGTCATGTAAGTGGGGAAAGTGGAAAAAATAATACTGATTATGTTCCCAGTCAGGCATATATATATATATATATATATATATATATATATATATATATATTGATAAGCAAATATAAATGGATATACAAACCTGAATTCATTTTGTTACATGGAGGACTGCATGCTTATCCGAAGATACAGGAATCTACTAGTCTCCGCGTATTCCTACAAGAACAGAAAAGATTTTCTAACGAACTGTATATATGGAAAATCATTCCATCGGAATCAAATTTATAAAATTTTTAAGAATACGTTGTGAAAGGAAAGCGTCGCCCATTTGACGACAACGTGACCACGCTCAAACGGAAAGCTGATCATTTAAAATTTTCCTTTATCTGTTTTGGATAAGACTTGTTTTTATGTCCATCGTTTTCGTCGTGTTATACTGATTATGTTAATTGTCTTTTTAATGAATATTGTCCTGAAGAAGGTTATTAAACCGAAACGTCAGACGTCGACATTTCATTCATATTAAAACAACATAATCGCATTTTAAGGATTTTTGTTTTGTTTTTCCAGATATTTTCTTCATATATATATATATATATATATATATATATATATATATAAAATTCATTTGATAAGTGACGATTAATGGACGCGTCGGACAGAGAATTTCATGGTAGATGTTCTATTAATGTATGCAGTAAAAGTCTCGCTTCCGACACTCTAGTTTGTTTTCTGGTGATCTGTGTTCAAACTACAGTGTCGGCAGCGAGACTTTACTTATCAAATGAATTATGCTGTCATCGTCCATCAATAAACATTGAGCTGACTTCAAGCGATAAGAAAAGTCATGTGTCGTCGTCTTTTAATCTGTACAGTAAAAATGTCACTGAAGAGTTAACGACATTCAGTCTACATAAAAACTGCCTCATTGTAATTTAATTTTATGAATTTAATTAAATATAAGTCAGTTCATAATTTAATTATAAATATAAGATATTCACTTTCACGAAAAGAAAAAAAAATCCTAGAGAGAACACTTGCACATAAATATATATACTTACATACTTCTAAAATACCTGATCAAGAAGGAAATTACTGGACAGTAATTGAAACTCACCTGAAGCGAGCTGAATGTGTAATGCTCCTCATGCCAATGACACTTCCACCGAGCTTCTCTACGGCATATGACTTCACTGAATTTCTTTTGATGTGTTCCTCTCGAATTTATATTTAAACTGGGGTCATCAGGAGAGAATGTGAACCGTTTCGGGGCCTTCCTCTCAACGGTTTCAGTTGCACACCGCCCCCATTCACTGATGTGAGACCCCATTATAACGATATACAAGTGTTGTAGATAAACTAGTTCAAATGTGTAACGGCGAAATTAAATTTACGAAAATTCCGAAAAACGGCAAACCTCGCGTTCTGAGAATGCAACGTGAACCTCATTACGCATTCACGATCAAACATGTCATGCCGTCATGTTCGCTGAAACACTCCACGGAGTATTTCGTTTTTTCCATATCCACATAGAACTATTTTCTGTTACTTCTATTAGGCGTTTTATACTCTTGACCCTATTACGCCCTTTGATTCCAATTTGGCCCAGAAATTGGTACAGAGTGCCTGAAACGAAACCCCTTGCTCCAATTTCCACTGCTCTAACAATTGCATTATACCCCTCCTTTATTAGCTCTGACTTTAGATTTTCATATTTATTAGTTTTATAATCGTGGCTTTGTTCCATCCGGCATTCATAAAAACATGACTTGAGTTTTCAGGTTAATATTTCGGCTTGGTTCGAAAACTCGTTAACGCAATCTAAGTCGTTTTTTTTTTAATTAATTCTACAAATATATGACCTGTAATAAGCCACAAATTACACTTCTTTTTTCTATATGCCGTATCTCTTCAGGACGTTAGTGATCATGGCTTTCCTCAGCCTCGGAGCGTTTAACAATGTTTTGTTTTTTTTGTTTTTTTACTATCCCACCTCCTCACTGTTTTGGCATCCATCTACACAAACAAGTTTCGATGTTCCCCTTCACCCTCACTTTGTTTTCGGTATTTTCCGTGAGTTTCAAAAATTTCCAAGCCGCCTTTCCTCCTGATATGGCGTAGAAATTCCAACTGTTTCTTTCAGAATCTAACAGTACATTGCTAAGGTTGCAGGTAAAAATGGTCGGCTCCCTGTACCGTTTCAGTAGGTAACTGGATCCTCCTGCTATTTTCTACCTTTACAAGAGCCGGATCAGGCCCAAAAATAGAGTACCGTTGTCATATTTAGGCGGGAGCGGTCCAAATCACACTCTCCAGGCTCGATATAGTCAAAAGCGTTTTCGAGCCCTTGTGGGTGACGAACTATTCTCCACCCTGCAACATCTCTCTCTCTCTCTCTCTCTCTCTCTCTCTCTCTCTCTCACAGGCAGGATATGACAAACTTCTCTCTGGTTTGCCGCTACTTCAATGAAAAGTGCTCAGACGAACTACATTCGTTGGTCCCACCGAGGCAAACCTTCACAGCAAAAACACGCCATGCCAATTACACAGTAGCAAACCACCCACATTCTATCCGTATCCCATAAATGAGAAGTATGTTCCACTCGAACAGCTTCTTTCTCTGTACCACTGCCTTGTGGAACCAACACCCAACGGGATGTTTCCCTGATTACTACAATCTTAACCCGTTCAAGACTAGGATGAAGCGATGTCTTCCACTCCTATATACACAGGTGGCTTTCAAACGTAACCCTCTACCTCCAGTGGCTCCCGGGGTTTGTAAAGAGTTTAGCTCGACGTAAAAAATAAAACGTATAAAGAAAGTATGATTGTCCTTTCTGATACCATTTTTTGTAAAACGTCTTTTTCACATGTCCAGTCCGTAATATTTTTAGCATCCTTCTGTAGAACCACATTACTGTTATCTCGAGCCTTCTCTTCGTCTATGGGAAAATTGGCAAGCTTCATATAGGAGGAATTATATTACTCTCATATACGACGAATGATATTACTCTCATATATGACGAATGATATTACTCTCATAGAGGAGGAAAGATATTACTCTCATCTAGGAGGAAGGATATTACTCTCATATAGGAGGAATGATATTACTCTCATATAGGAGGAATTATATTACTCTCATATAAGAGGAATGATATTACTCTCATATAGGAGGAATTATATTACTCTCATATAGAAGGAATAATATTACTCTTATATACGAGGAATAATATTCCTCTTATATAGAAGGAATAATATTACTCTCATATAGAAGGAATGATATTACATTCATTTCGGAGGATTGATTTTATTCTTATATAAGAGGAATAATATTACTCCCATATCGGAGGAATGATATTACCCTCATGTAGGAGAAATGATATTACTCTCATATAGGAGGAATAATATTACTCTAATATACGAGGAATGATATTACTTTTATATACGGGGAATGATATTACTCTCATCTAGGAGGAATGATATTACTCTCATATAGGAGGAATGATTTTACTCACATATAAGAGGAATAATATTACTATCATATACGAGGAATGATATTACCCTCATATAGGGTGAATAATATTACTCACGTATAGGATGAAGGATATTACTCTCATATCGAAGGAATAATATTACTCTCATATAGGAGGAATGATTTTACTCTCATATAAGAGGAATAATATTACTCAAATATAGGATGAAGGATATTCTCTCATATAGGAGGAATAATATTACTCTCATATCGAAGGAATAATATTACTGTCATATACGAGGAATGATATTACTCTCATAATTGAGGAATAATTTTACTCTCATATAAGAGGAATAATATTACTCACATATAGGATTAAGGATATTACTCTCATATAGAAGGAATAATATTACTCTCATATAGGATGTAGGATATTACTCTCATATAGGAGGAATGATATTACTCTCATATAGCAAGAATGGTATTACCTTTGTAGTTTAGTACTCTTTTCTTTGTCTCTAATTGAATTTTATTGTTTGCCAATACTTTATTTAGTTTTTGGAAGACATGTTTTCCCTATTTTAAAGCGTCCTCACATTTTGGTGTTAAATTTTGTTTTCTGTTAAAAGTCATTCATTCTTTTCTCTTTCTTTCCTTTTTCTTTTGTCTTTCCTCGTTGTTTTTCCTTTTTCTTTTCTCTTTCATTTCTCTTTCTTTCTTTTTTTCTTTCTTTTCTCTTTCTTCTCTCTTTCTTTTCTTTCTCGTCATTCTTCTTTCCTCTTTCTTTTCTCTTCTTTTTCTCTTTCTACATTTTTATTTCCTCTTCCTTTTCTCTTTCGTCATTCTTTTTCCCTTTCTTTAATCGTTCTATCCTCTT